GCTGAGCCCATCTTTCCCTGGAAAGACTTAAATAAGCAGATATTATCTTGCGGGACACTTGCCTCTTACCCCTGTTCTCATCTTCTCAGCTGACTTCTCTACATCCTTTAGTGTTTATCTTTCCACAACCTAAGACCTGAGTTCAGAACTTTTGAATTTCTCTAGATAAGTTTTGGGCTTGGGGCAGAGGATGTGTCATAGTCACTTTCCTTGTTGCTGAGACACAGTACCTGACACCCACAGCTTAAAGGAGGAGAGGTTGATTTTGGTCCATGGTTAGGGTCCATGGTGGCCTGGCTCCAGGCAGAAGCAATATGGTGGAAGGATGGGGCAGAGGAGAGCTGCTCACGTCATGGCAGTCAGGAAGCAGAGAGAGAAGGGAGGGGTGTGGAAGGGAGATGCGCCTTTCCAGGTCCCACCCCCTTGTGACTTCCCTCTGACTAGGCCTCAGCTCCTAATAGCAAGTCAATTATAACCTTCAGTGGTCCAATCACCTTCCAAAACCTCGCCTCTGATGCAGGAGAGTGTTAGGGGTCATTCTTGGTCTACATCACAACAAGGTGTGTTTATTGCACATTCTTACAGGTTTCCTAGTAGTTATGCCTCAGTCACAGGCTCTGTATCTCTCCTACTTTTGTTTTTTTCTATCTCTTTCCTCTCCTGGTATAGAACCCTGGGACAAGATACTTGGAAATAATCAGGATGTCAAAATGTCTTCGTATATTTCCTGTTGTTACAACAGAGTGCCTGCACCCGAGAAATTTACAAAGGAAAAGCATTTATTTATTACAAGAATTGACTCATAAGGTGATGGTGGCTGAGAAATCCAAGAGCAGGCTGTCTTCTAGCTGAATAATCAATGAACTGGTAATGGGACTCAGTTCTGATTCAGAGGCTTCAGAACCAGAGAAATTGACACATAGTTTCCTGACCGAGACAAGGGGCCCAAGGACCCCAGCTGCAAGTCCTACAGTCCAAAGGCCAAGGTGCTCTGATGCCCAAGCACAGGAGAAGAGCATGCAACTCTGGAAAAGAAAGAGCAGTGGAGACCCCTTCTGAATTTTCACCTTCCACCTGGGCCCCAGCCTATATGAAGGTACCCACCTATTTGAAGGTGGTCCTCACAAGCCAATATTGCCTGGAAGTAGAAGTACCCAGAAAGAGATTTTCACCTCCCACCTAGCTCCTTAACTCAGTCACGCTCACACCAAAAGTTAACCATCACACAAGGCTAGAGGAGATAATAATGTGATTAGGGAGAAATGATGTTTATCGGCACCAGCAGTGAGTACATAGCTGGAAATGGTGGGGATAGGAGGGATAGGAAGATGTATTTTCATCATAGTATTTAGCATTTTGCTTTGTCATTTATTGTCTGTACGTCCTTATAGCTAATAGACTTCAAGTTTGAGAGGAGACAGGAATTATGATAATCTCTGAGATCTCAGGTCTAGCAAGTACCGTTGATTTCACATAGCCACTAAAGAAGTCCATTGACCATAAGTGTTCAAGCTGATTTGTTGGCAGATTTGATCCAAACAAGAAATAGGGATGGAAGGACCTAGACACCTTGACTAACCAGGATACTCAGAACTCTAAATTAGGAATGTCCCTTTGAGTTTGTCTCTATCCATTGTATATGCCCTGTACCCTTTCCCATATCTAATGACATGCTTGACTGGATGGCTCATTGGAATTAGACGTTTCAGGGAAGGCTCATGTCTTTGTGCTGATATAGCAAGATACCACAACCTGTAATCCCAGCTGTTTGGGAGACTGAGGTAAAAGAATGCCAAGTCTGAGGCTGGCCTGAGCAATTTAGCAAGATGTTATCTCAAACTTAAAAAAAAGTGCTGGCGATGTAACTCAGTGGTGGAGCAGCTACTAGGTTCAAACTTTAGTATTGCAGACAAACAAACAAAACCATGGACTGGGCAGTTTATGAACAATGGAAGCATTTTTCAGGGTTCCAGAAGCAGGAAAGTCCAAGATCAAGACGTGGGCTGGCTTGGTGTCTGATGTGGGCTGCTCTCTGCTTGCAACATGGTACCATGTCGCTGCGTCCTTTGGAGGAGCTAAGGCAGTGTCCTCGCCTGACAGAAGGCAGGGAAGGGAGTTAACCCATGTTTTGAGCTTCCCCTCAAGATTTAGTCATCCTCTGAAGGTCCTGCCTCTTAACACTACTATTGTAGTGATTAAAAGTTTGAACGTACACATTTGGAAGAATTTGGGCCAGAACAGATGGGAAACAATTTCAGGAGAGTAAATTCATTCTTTCAATGGTTTGGAGTTAAATCCTTATCACTTGACTGCAGCATATCCATGCTACATCTTTGAGCAACCAAAACTAGCTTTGGGGGATGTGAGGTATTCCAAAGCTCTCCCGTAGACTTAACCATCCACACAATCGAGCATAGCCTGAGGAAATATCTGTATTAGCCACCTCCACTGGTGTTTTATATAGTGTGTATAAAGGAAGGTAAGGCCGGCACACATCTAATTAATATGTCCCCAAGGCCTTGGTTCTTTGAGCCTATGGTGAAGTAGCAGTTTTCTCAAAGACCTCCACCCAAACAGCTTGGGTTATATGTGAGGGGATGTCCTGGCTACCTCATCTTTTTCTTTCAGAAGGAAAATAAACATATTTCACCTATCTATTCATTCTTTCCTTCATTTGCTTATTCAGGATCAGCTCAGTGAGAGGTCCTGTGACAAGCTGTGGGGATACAATGATGAAGACTGCAGTACCTGTTCTTCAAGTGCCTGAGGATAAATCGCATCCCTGATTCTGGAGATGGTATAGGCTGAAGGTCTGCAAACTTTTTCTGTAAAGGGATAGATAATAAATATTTTAGGTTTAGGGGCCATAGGATCACTGTCACAGCTACTCAACTTTGCTATGTGCAAGAGCAGAGTAGATAATTAGAACACAGATTAGTGATTTGCACACAGGTGAGTGTGTCCAGCTTTATTCTCAGACACTGAAATGTGAATCTGAAATCGTTTCCATGTGTTGTGTGATATCACTGTTCTTCTGACCATTTTTCTGAAGCACTTGTGAATGTTGCAACAATTCCTGCCTGCAGGCTGTAACAAAAGTGGCCGTGGGCTGTACTGAGTGGGAGCCACAGGTTATCCACCCCGACTGAAAACATAATCCCTGATAGTTCAGCTCTGTGGTTCCCTAGCGCAGCTCCTGTTCACCCCACGAGGAAAGCCAGCCAACAGGTTAAGCGTAGTCCTGCCTTTCCTCCTCTACTTCTCTCCATCTTCTGCTCCCAGCTCCCTCCCCAAAGGTCTTTCTCCAAAACAGAACCCTTTGTATGAATTTCTGATACTGCCGCGGACACCTGGGTGCTTATGTTCCTGAGGAAAATGCAAATGACTCCAGTGACTATTTGGTCCTGAAACAGTTTAATTTAGTTTATTTAGTTTTTTTCTCTTTCTTCATTCCCTTTTCCTTTCTCCATGCTAGAAATTAACATAAAAATTCCTTCTGGCTAAATTCCCAATGCATTTTCACAGTGAGCATTTTCAGAAGCGAAAATTAGTAGCTTCCTTGCAGTTTGCATCAGGGATGTGAAATTGTACAGCTCACAGGGGTGGAGAACTCAAACCCCATTTATGAATTAATACATGCTGCTGAGGGGACCTCACTGTCTGTAGAGTGCCGGGGAATCATTTCTACCAGTGAGAGAATACCATTTTCTTTTTGAAAAAAAAAATGAATTAATATAGAATATGTAGCACTTCTATAAGATTACATTATTTACGTCGTCCTGAGGGACTGACAGCACCTGAGGAAATTATATCTCTTTCTCATTTTTCCCTCATCCTTCCGATTTTTATCCAGGTGAAATCTAATTATTGTGAGCATTAAGGGCAACTTCAAATGGGACCCACAGTCCGGTGTGGGAGAGTAAACATACGGGGAAGACAACGACTTCTGCCTCTCCCTAGCTCCAGCCATCTGGTTCCCACAGCAGCTTTGAATCCTTCAGCCTCAAGAGCTGAAATATTGAGCTAGCGTCTTATTTTTTTCTTTTCCATTCCCTCCCGCCTCCTCATGTGATGCTCCGTATAAAAAATCTGACTTCTGTAGCAACTTACAGGACTTGGGCAGGGGAAAGAAATCTTATTACAATTGTTAAAATTATTACAGTTTTTGCACTCGGACAGATCTGGGTTTGAATCCGAGCTTTTCCACTCAGAGACTTCAGGCCAAATAACTTCTCTGTGTCTCAGTTGGGATAGCTCTGAAATGGAGGAGAAATCCTATTTCAGGGAGCAGAGATGAGGATTAAATGAGATAAGGGACAGCGGATAAGTGCTCTATAAAAGGCTGATAGGAGCATTTACTAAGTACTCAGTAAAAATCCTTCCACTTAGAAGACATTTCTTTTCCTTCATTTTTTGCTCCAAACATTTGTTGAATTGCTGCTTGCTTCTGAAAACATAGAAAAACACAATCGATGTACAAGATAGAGAGGCTCACATCTGAGTGGTTAAAAGGCGGCTCCTTACTCAGGCAAGTGCAGTACAAATGGGTGAGTGTAAGACATGTTTGTTCAAGTCGGTGGGCACACAAGCCAGGGCTATCCTGGGCAAGGATCTCAAGCCGCCTGGAAGATGTCAAAGCGGGCAGGGTCCAAGCTGAGTGCTAAAGAATAAAGAGACATTTTCACAACCTTATTATATTGTAAACATGTATTATATTGGAATTATATTCCCAGCAGAGGCAGAGCCCAAGAGCCCGGTTTTTGCTAGAGTTTAACGTGGTAGAGGGGAGAAAGCGGGCCAGATGAAGGCTGGTGGAGGCTACAGGAGGCGAATGAAGTGTTTTGTATGTCAGGCTAAGGAAACGGACTCCGCCCTTCACGACAGGCAGGAAGGCAGAATGCCACTGACAAGCTGGCGTGGGTGGGTGTGGATGATGGTGTGTGAACTACAACTGAGACCCACAGCGAGCGCAGTCGCCCCTGCAGGGCCCGCCCGATCGGTGAAAGCAGGGTTCAAGTCACCCGGCACAAGGCCTGACAGAGCAGGAGCAGGTCATCTGAAGCCAGCGCTTGAGCCTGCTCCGCCCAGCAAGGCCTTCTGGCTTCTTCGGCGCCCTGCGCTACAGTCTCGGGTCCCAGCCTAAGCACTGGCCCCTTTCCTGTGCAAATCTTCCATCTCTGAACATCCTCGGAGCCTGCCGGAAAGGAGGCCTCGGCTGGGGGCAAGGACGGGAGTTTCCAAGGAGGAAGGGCGTCTCTAGCCAGGCTTTCAGATGCAGAAACAAAGCCATGTTGAGAAAGGAGCCCTCTGTCTGTCTCTGGAACTTGCTCCTGGCCTCTGTGTTACGACTGGGAACAACTGCATTTCCGTGTAGCTGTGCCTGCAGGCACCAGGGGTCCGGCCGTCCTTCCTTCCTTCCTCTCTCCCTCCCGCCTTCCTTCCTTCTTTTCTTCTTCCTTCCTTCCTTCGCTAGGGCCCTGAGGGAGCACACAAGCCACAGCCACGTGTGTGTGTGTGTGTGTGTGTGTGTGTGTGCTCCCGCGTGTGTTTGTGTTTGCAGATTACAGGTGCCTGGGGAACCCGCGCCGAAGCACAACACAGAGGGACCGGTCTGGGTCTCCTCCCACATTGCGGCCCAGAAAAACCGGTGGAAGTTGGCTTCGCTTTGCGGCTTCCCAGGCTGGCTTCCAGCAGCGCCTGTGCGCCCGCCCGCACCTCCTCCCTTAGCAACCGGCGGCGGTGGAGACGCCCAGGCCGGGCCGCGCAGGGCAACCCCCGCGAAGGCCAAGGCCAGCGCACCCGGGCCCGCGCGTGCACCTGCCACCGCTCCAACAGCATCCTGCAAAAATGAGCCTTTCTCACCCCGCTGGGTAAGTGACAAGTGCAGCGCTTCCACGCGGCGCTGCAGTCAGCCGCCCCTCCTCCACCCTCCTGCTGCAGAGGGGGAGGGAGGAGGGGAGGGCTGGGACAGGAACCCAAAGGAAGGAGGGGAGGAAGGAAGGAAGGAAGGAAAAACAGAAAGAAAGAAAGGAAGGAAGGAAGGATGGATAGATTCGGGGCTGCAGCAAGCATGGCAGAAATCCCAGGCATCCTGCGTCCTCCCTCCTCATCCTTCACTTCTTCCACTGTAGTTCTCCCCTTTTGAAATTTTCAGCCTGGAAAGATTAAAAAAAAAAAAAAAAGAAAAGGATGTGAAAAATGCATACATTAAGCGGAGACGTTAGCTGGGAACGAAGAAGCTCCTATGGTGGGGAACATATGTGTTTCAGTGTAGAGCTAGAGGTTACCGAAACACGCATGCCTCGGCAGGGCGAGCCCGCTGAATTCCCACGTACAGCTTGGCACGCAGGGCGGGGAGGCGGGTTGATCCAGGTAGGAGGGAAGCCCCTCATGTCAGAATCTTTGTCTTCCCCATATCAAAAGACTCACAGAGGTCTTTTAGAAGGATTTTAACTAACGTCATATGACACAGGGAAGAAAAGAGGAAGCAAGAGATGAGTGTCATTGTGTTTACCTGTGATCTTACCTGCGCTCTCTCTTGGGAAGTGAACTCCTCTGAGGACCCGTTTTGGCAATATTCCATATATTCTACAGAGTTAACACAGTCGTTATTGGCTGTTGTCCCCTCCCAATTAAGAAAAAAATCTCTCCATTCTTTTATTGGGAGAATATCCAATTTCCTTCTGAATTAAGCAATGTAATACATATGAGATGGGTTTTTATTGTGATACATCAAGTAAGCAGATAAATATCCTAGTTGATCTTACAACTCATTTGAAAATGCTTTCCTTTTTAATAGCATTTATGGCACATTTTCAACAGCAGCAAATTAGCAGAGGGAACCACGTATTTAAGATCATTTGGAGTTTGTGATGTCTGAATTACTACATGAGTCGTTCTTGAGATACACAGTCAGACTCAAAGATTTTGCCTTCTCATGAAGGCAAAATCTCTCCCAATGCAATGACATAAATGAAAAGGGTTGAGAGAAACGAAGGCCTTATCAAGTGCCGTGTTGGAAGTCGGTTTCAGAACTTTCTGGAAAATGATAAAGCGATGGCTAAGTGAGCTTCATATTTTATTTTAAATTGAATTAGGTTAGGCACATAAGTGTTTCAAAGCTGAATTTGTGTGCAATTTGGTTGGCCCTGGGTCACATGGGATGTAAATAGAACTATTTTTCTGCAGCTGCCGATTGCAGTATGTCTGCATTTGGGAAAATGAACGTGTCAGTCATGGTTGTCTTCCTGTTTTTCAAGTTTTTGGCAAAGTTAGAATCTGATTAGACCATTTAATCATGTATTTTAAAATGTGGAAAAACCTGAAGCTGCTTATTAAATTGTGCATGATTAAGATTTCAGATACTAAAGTCAAATTTTTCTGAAGTTCTATTAGTTCCAAGCACATGGGGAAAAGGAAAAATTTGTGGCTTAATGAGAGTGTACGCTTTGGGATACTCTTCAAGTATGATATGAATAGGGCAACAAATATTTTGCACTAAAATGCTGAATCCCTATAGTGTGGGTACCATGTCTTATTAATTTTTCTTTCCCTTGTATGTAGGACAGTGTACAGAATAGAGTAAAACTCAACAACTATGGAGCAAATGATACCATAGGATGGCATTTCCAGTTTCTTTCACATTTGAAAGCCATGTTTGTGCATTCATTAAGTGCTTACCATGTGCCAGGATCAGTGCTTATGTTTTACATGAAATATTTCATGGACCTGTCCCATCCACTGTCTGAGACAGGTTCTAGCCACCCTCATTTTCACAGATGAGGAAGCTGAAGACTGTGAAGTTTATAAAGGAGGCCCAGCTAGGAAGAGTCAGGACTGGGACACAGAGGCAGGGCGTGCAGCTTAAGGGCCCCGGGCTCACTGCCACCGAGCTCCGTTCTCAATAGCTGGGAATACATGTGTGGAATCCTGAGTACATGTGCGTTCTTATCTAGATCAGACCAAGATGTGATGGTGAACTGCTGAAGTAACCACTTAGCACATCAAGATATAATCAGAGAGTAATTTTGTGTTCATGTATTTACATCCATGCTTTTTGTTTCAGTGATCAAAAATAAATGAAAATAATAAGCATAAACATAATCAATGCAAATGCCTTCAAATTCACCCCAAGAACAAATTCATTCAAATTGCTAAAGTTTTCCCTCCAATAAAAGTAGTGATTATTTTTCTTGCCTGTGTTATCACTTGGAAATCATAAAAGTTTCAGCAGCAAATAAAAGGTTTCATTCAAACTGAGAAGGCTTTTCCATCATTACTGAAACTGTTCGGACTGCTCACATTTTAAGGATAAAATGGTAATAAAGTGCAGTCGTACAGGAAAACAGAGTTTACATCCATGAAATTCTATCAATCAATAAACGATGTCCTGATGCTTTCTCTCAGTGTTTTCTCTAAGTTTCTTTGCTTACTTCATCACAGCATGAAGCACTTGGTGTAGAATTGCGAAAGACCGGTGCTAGCTTCATTCAGAGTTCAGAGTAAATAAAAATGGCCTTAAAAACTTCTGCCAAAGATAATAGAGACTTTGAATCTGAGCTGCATCATAATTTGATGGAAGTCAACTATAAAATACCATTTCCAGCACTGCCATCTCTAATGAAATTGTTTGAGGGTGGAAAATTTCAATTGATAGTCCCTCCAGCTTGCCGGATCTCACCCGCGTTGCTGTTCGTGTGTGCTTGTGGGTTGTGCACTAGTCCTAGAGGCGGGATGGGGATTTTATACCCCTCAGTCATGCATGAGGATAAAATGACATGGCTCTTTGGGCTCCTTCCAAGGAGCATTAGTGGATCCATGTGAAGTTGGCCGCTTCTGCGAAAGAAGCGCAGGACTCTAAGGAGAGATAGTCACACTCAGCTGTGAATTTCCTTTGAGGAAAAAAGAATGCGAGCATTATCATTTATGACAAGGAAAGAAATGCCCAAGTGTATGTTTTGAAGGATTGTTCAAAGGCTTAGAAACTTTCTGGTTTAGACGCATTGGTTTATGCTTTTTTAATCTAAAGAAGGGTTGCTGTCCGGACAGAGTGCACTGGTGTGCAGTAAAGAAAGAATTAGCACATCCTATTACATCCTCTAACTTAGTCATCCATCAGAGCAAAAGTGCTGTCAGTAACCTTGTCAGTACCCAAAACTGACGGATGTGACCCACCATCAAAGTTGTCTCTTTATCAAGAATTTCAGACTTCAAAATAGTAAGTACTTGAATTCAGATTGGGTGCTTTCTCTGCATCCCCGTGTTTAATATTAGCCAAAGAACTATAGTGTGGGCACCATGTCTTATTAATTTTTCTTTCCCTTGCACGTAGGACAGTGTACAGAATAGGGTAAGGGTAAAATCGTTCCTGTTAAATGATATGTGTTCAATACCTCATTTGCCATAGCTTTTTCCTCTGATTATTTTAAGTGCTAGCTTATGCTTTTTAAAAGATAGATGCCATGTCTATCTTTTACTTAACAAACTTATTCCTATAAGTGCATGGGAATGTAAGGGTTTTGTTTTCACAGTGTCACTAAATTCTTTGTACTCCTTCAGAGATACACATTTTAAAAAATCACATAGTGATTTATCACTAAAAGGTTTTCAATGAACTTTTGATACTTTCACTAGTTCTCCTACAATGATGTTCAAAACAAAGGACTTGGAACTGTTTGCCACCAGATTCCTTGCCAGGTCACCAAAGCCATTTATTGTATCAATATCTGGCCAGTACTTCAAATTGACCCTTTGCTTCTCAGATGTTTTTCCAAGTCCAGTGCATCCCAATAAGATACCAGATGCTGACGGTGTACCTTTGTTCTATAAAAACAGAAAGAAAATTATAAAACAGTTGGAGGAAGCCTGGCATGATGGCACATGCCTATAACCCAGAACTCTGCATGCCAGTAACCCCAGAACTCTGAGATGCTGAGGCAGAAGGATAGAATTGTGCAACTTAGTGACTTAACAAGATCCTATCTCAAAACAAAACCCCCAAAGCTCCATACAAAAGCCCTGGGTTCAATGTCCAGTACTGGTGGGGGGGATTAAAAAGGGCAAATTAACTCCTCTACTACATGCTCTACCCTAGTATAGGGATGTAGCTCAGTGCCAAGTCTCTGGGTTTAATCTCCATACTGGAAGAAACAAATTGTAGAGGCAGAAGAGAGAAGCAGTGAAGAGGTAAAAATCAGCATGACCAGAAACGCACTTTCAGAAGATCAGTTTTGAAAGAACATAGAGGAAATTTGAGGAATAGAATTAATTCTCCTAAAATTATCCTCTCCTGAGTTTCCCAGCAGTGTACATGTCCTGATTGGTAGACTTCCGGTTTAGAGAACAGGGAGCCCTCAGATGAGGTCTTCTGCAGTGTTCCATTTCCTTTCTGAGATCTTTACTGAGGAAAAATATCTTCAACTAGGAGAAGTGGAGATTTCCCAACTTACTTAGATTATTAATAACTATACTGTAGTTGATCAGGGAGATGAGAAAACACAATTTCTCCAACTCAATTCTAAGTCAGCCCCAGATATTCTGAAATTGTGGTAAAATCCGTCAATTTTTGAGACTTTGCATTTCTAGAAATATCATTTTTAATGAACACTTCACAGAAAGGAGGAGAAGTTTATTTTGGCTCACAATGTCAAGTGGTTGGCCAACTCTGAGGCAGAAATGGCATGGTGGATAGTCACAGTAAATGAAAGCTGCTTATACTATGCAGGCAGGAAGAAGAAAGAGAGGGGAGGAGCCAGGGAGAAAGACTACGTCCTAGGCCACGCCCCCAGTGACCTGCCTGTTCCAACCAGGCCCCACTTCCGGATTCATGTTTGGGTTTCTGTTCTATCACTATGACAGCGTGAATTCTGTT